ACAGAATTCTGCGTAGGAGGCTTTAGCACTATATATTCTTGCTGTGGAGCCTTCGAGATATGGTGTATCCAGAAATTAAAGCAGGCGTTCATGCTTTGACAATGTAGTGGTGTCCATCTGCACAGTTGTTTTTAGCTGCCACGAATGTTGTTACATCATCATGTCAGAAAATCATGACCCCTAATGTTTTAGTAATTCATATGACTCACTTAAATGCTACACTTATGGAGGAGTTAAGGGAGTAGGTTTTGTAGGAGTTAGTGAGCGAGATGGGATTGGAACACACCCCTAAAAGTCTTGCTGCATCCCCAGTATGTCTCCACTAGCGTGGTCACTAGAGATGAAGACATTTGGACAGTCAGTTGTGTCGGGGTCCACAGGCTGAGCAGGGACTGTGGCTGAGAGGGCGTCCATTGTGTGCTATCCGCTCTACAGGGGATGCGGCACTTGGAGAACATGCAGCGCTACTTTGAAAATCTGCTCTGGCAGCCAAAAGACCTTCTCTCCAACCCAGAGCTTGTGTCTCATTACGCCGATGGAACAAGCAATGCCTTTATTCACCATAATGCCAAATAATGAGTGTGCTGACTAGCTTTTGAATGAATTACCAGATCAAAAATAACAGCATGCACTTGAGTGTGTTCAGAAGTAACAAACACAGTTGAGACTGTTATGAAACAACAGATTTTAAAAGTGTAACCGAGTCAACTTTTTCCACGCTTGCTTTTCTCCACTGCGAGGGATCAGAGACTTCTTGACCAGCTGGAAGTAATAGCAAGAATACTGCAGGAATAACACAAGTCCGCTCCTTTTCTTCAATCAGCTCTAGAATCACGACTAGGTTCTTTGCCCAATCCTCTCTTTACTGTATGGCATTGCCAACCACCTACACCACCACCTGTGTCTGTCTAGCCCCTGAAGTTTGCCTACGGCGCCGCCCTGATTAGTCTCATTCCTGTTGATGATGAGTCATACAAGAGAGATCTTCTGCAAAAAGATTTTACCCACTCACTATTCCATAGAGAAAACATGCATAACAGTTACACACAAACACACACAAATACAATGCCTTTGCTTATCATTTGAACAATGTGATTATTGTGAAGCAGAGCTCAAAATATAACTGTGCTCTGTATTGTTTTAACCGGGCTCGATAGCTGCTGATTCAACCGGTGGTAATGTCCGCCGATGGGTAGAAACTGCATCCACTTCAGCATATTTTCATCAAGCTGAGATAGCATAATGTTTTATAAGAGCAATAAAAAGTCCATCCTCAGAGGCCCACAAGTATGCTATTGCAAAACACACAGCCACAAACAGGCATGCACGCAGGTAAACAGGTAGCCAGAAACACACACACATTACAGTCTCGACTCATTTTTACCGCCGTGACACCTGAATGCTTTAGCCCCGGTGTAAGTGGGCTGTATGACATTATGCTTGATAATGGTAGCTATTGCTTGTCTCATATATGATGGATGCATCTGTCAGAGCGCAGTCTCGCCACACCCTTTTGGATACGGCATTTTTGTGACAGGAAAATCAGCCAATCCTGATGCTTCAGTGAGCAGCCCCCCTAATCTTTTCCTCGTGCTGTAATTCCAGGTTGCAGAATGAACCCTGGGTAATCCCTCGCAGGGTGCGTCGTTCCACTTGTTGTCACTTTCTTGGTCTCTCTCTCTCTCTTTTTCTATGCTCTCTCTTTCCTTCTTTTTATTTTGCACTCACATAAACTCTCTGTCTGTCTCTCATTTGCTGTCTCTTTTTCTTGTTCTTTCCACCTTATGTTCTGGCTCCCTAGCTGGCTCCTGCTCATACTTTCTCATTGATTTTCTTTCCATTCACCAGCCTCACCGCACCTATTCAGTAAGTGATTGACATTCCCCTGCATCTTTCAATTTCTCTCTGTCTTTTTCTTTTGCTCCTCTCCTATTCCCCTCTCTCTTATTATACCATATTCTTCCTCCTGCCTCCCTGGTTCTCAGGAAAATAAATAGTGCACAGTTTCTGTCAACAGTCTGAACTTTGTTGGAATTTGTTTCCTAGATTCTCTGGTTGTACTGCACAGTAGTCATTTATTGGAATTGCAGTGTAAATACCAAATTAATGACACCACAAATTAGAAAAATCTAGTTACAGCTATTTATATTGTAGTACGCAAACACTGTCTGGTATATGGCAATATGCAGCTTCCTTTCTCTGTGATAAAACCTTATGAGTCTAATAGATTATCGGGTAGTGCTGCGTGTATAATGAGGTTTTATGCAATGGTTCAGTGCTGTTGCTTCACCAGGATTAATGTGATGGTTTGGGTTCCCATCCCTTTAGAGTATGTACAACCTACAGAATTATTACAAAATGTGCTCCAAGGGAAATGACGTGTAAGATTACTGATGTTCATTCCCTGCCGTCAGATTAATGGCAACTGTGTTGCAGTCTGATTAATGTTTCATCAATTTAATTAGTTGTGTATTGAATCTCTCCAACTTTTAGACACTCTGTTGTCATTTTTACATCATATTTGTGCTGTAGAATAGGTAGCCTCCCATTATTATTGCCAAAATCAATAGTAAAAAGTGTAATTTATTGCTTAAAGTCTGGAAAAAGAATAATTATGCATTAATTGGTTTTCAGTCTATTTGATGAATGTCACGGTACGTTTGCTCCCGAGCGTGCATTCTTGCCTACAGTAGCTGTTGTATACATCTTCTTTCCTGAAACAAACAGTACAGCTCTATTTTCTCCTGCTCCCAGCTCAAAGACAGTTGACGGCGGGGCCCCTAAAAGGCCAGCATATGCTTCTTCTTTCTTCCTGATCACAGCTCCCTCTCCTCTCTGTCTCCACCTCCTGTTCCCAGGCAGGAGTCACAGTGCCACCCCATCCCATTACCCTCTCAGTCACCCCCATGCTCAGACCTTTGGTGACACCTGCTGAGCCCAGCCAAGCCCCAGAATGCCACCTCCCACCACCTCAACAGGCTCTGACAACTGATTGTGTATGCTGATTGCTGGACCCCATATTTCACAGGTCCCTTCTACAGTATGTTCACATTTTCTCCCTCTCTGTTTCTTGAGGCCATCAGCAGCAGAGTGTGGGGCGTGTTGTGCAGGCAGTTTGCGGAGCGCTAGTCTATTTGTGTGAGCAAGGTGCTGTTTCTCCCAACAAGCACACCAGAGGAAATGAAAAGGAAAGATCCTTTTGATCATATACTCTCAAAGGAAATCTTTGATTCCAGGAGCTCTCACATCAGAATTCATCATCAGAGTTGGGAGAGTGGTTAAACGGCTTCCAAGGCACTGATCAACATGAATGGGTTGAAATCTCATGAGGATTTTGGCAATTTAGACTTGAAACACACTATGACCAAGTTTGGAAAGCTTTGTTTACTGTCGCTTTTTGTTGAAATCTGACTTTAATCACCGATCCGAACAGTTCATCCTCTCCGATCTGACCCCAACCAATTAGAATATTAATTATTAATATTAATATTAAAATATATAAGGTTTCCTAACATGTCATCATTCCAGTGATACAGATTGAATCACACCAACAACATACCAAGGCCAAATTAGATTCCATATTTTCTCACTTACTCCTCCTATATAATATTCATAATGAAGGGAGGTTGATTATTATGATACGGGATATTATCGCTTCACAGTCCTGTAATGTTTTCATAATGAGGCAGATTACAGAGTTTGCATGTAAATCACTGAAAATAGAATGTTTTGATCATTTTATTTCTCACAGGTTGTTTTTATGAATATTTAATGAAATGCCTTTTTTTCCTAGTTTTAATAACAATAAACATACTGTAATCTGAGTAGGAACACATTGGGCAGGATGACCTCAGATTTTTAAAATACCATATATTAGATATATACAGGAGATAATTCACATCAATGAAAGTTACACAAACTAATAAAAAGATGTATTTTGAATGTTATCTTGATCTTGAGGTTATCTTCTGTGCCAACAATGTCAAAGGTGTGTTTCTCCGTCAGCCGCTTAAATGAAATAAAAGCTTGTGAAGCCGCAACGATAAGGAAAGGAAAATTGTTTTCATGATAGTTCTGTGTCACCAGCGTCGCACAACTCTTACCATATAATCACCAGCAAAGATGTATTGCAAATGTGAATAATAAAGATTTCATACAGCACACAACAGCATAGGTAGAGAGTAAATTGGCAGTCTCTGGGAAAGTCAAAGCTCTGTTGTCATGTCAAAAGTAAGAAAAAGAAGAAAAACATGTTTACTGGTCAACATTGCATTTTTCGCTTTATCCAATACTTGGGCAGATTTTAATAAGCTCCAGGGTTGCAGAATTCTCCCAAACATTAGAAGAGCCATGTAAATCGTTCAAGGTCTGTAAATGCAGACCTTGAACGATTTTTTCCTGTCAATGCCATTATGGTAAAATGGAGGTGAGTAAGAGGAAAGTGTACCTGAAGGCAGCAAGAGGCAAAGTAGATTTAGAAAATGCTCATGTTTCCAGAGACCGTCATCATGGAGTTGGGGATTGGCAAACTTGGGTCTAGCAAATAAATGAATGAAACAGGAGGACATGTCAGAGACAGATTGAGAGGGGATGGGAGGAAAGACACCGTGTGAGGTGGAGGTGTGAATCCGCACTCGAGCTATAATGAAAATGAGGATGTGGCTCTGCGCCACAGGATTTGCCAGTAATTGGTTTAATAAATGCGTTCTGTTGCCTCTGATTGAACACATGCCCTGTGTTCGCTCCTCAAGGAGCCACACACATGTTGTCTTTGTTTCTTCCTGCAGCCTTGCAAACTTTTGCTATCGCTTTGTCTCACAACAAGGTGATCTGTCCACTGCATTCTCTCTGTGCTGTCTTTTGTGAAGGTCATACTCATTCTCCTTTAGAGAAGAGGGGGGCAATTAAGCACAGATTGTTACTATTGGCCTTTTCCAGCTGATGGACATAGTGACTGATCTGTATGTGTGTGTGTGTGTGTGTGTGTGTTCTCTTTGCAGATTGGCCTGTGGCACTCTGAAGATGGACTGTCCATGGAGAAAAAGCTTCCATCAATCAATGTGACAGATACCCTCTTCAACACCACTCTGACCATCACGACAATATTAGTAAGTAGTACTGTATGCGCGCATACACATCCACAGTAGTCTGTTTCGTTTTTATTAGCTCAGCTCCCGGGCTGATCTACATGTGGCTGAGACTCTGTGGTTGACAGACAATTACCATATCAAAAGCCCATTTTGTATTTTCAGATCCAAACTCAGTCCTCTTGGGATCAGAGGAACTGATGCTGCGCGATTGTTTTGCCTTGAGATGAAGTGAATGCATAACAGTGCACCAGCAGGCGCTAATAATTCACCATGTCAGCTATTCTCAGCCTATGTTGTAAATATAGATCCTGTGAGTTCCCAGTACCTCACTATTCTCACATGTTACAAGGGGTGCAGTTTTTAATCAATTTCCGTAATCACCTGCTGTGTTAATGGTCAGTACTCTAAGAATCCTAGCTTATGAAGTACAAGTAAATTGGGTATTTGAATCATATATTAAACAAGTAAATTATTTAGATAAGATTAAAAAAAAAACAATACTGTCACTCAAAATTGCTGCTCCCGCTCTGCCTGTCATTATTTAACAAGTGGACAAACAAAATTCAAATGAGTGAGCATAATAACACAATTTCTAGGCTTTATTGGAGGACAAATTGGTTTGCAGTAAACATGCAGGGCACCTATGGAAATGGAAAGGGCTCAAGAGGTTCAATATGCTTGAATAAAACTAGTTTGTTCGACCACGTCTTAAAGCAAAAATGTTTATAGCTGTTTTCTGAAGGGCTACACTAAAGCCTTAAAAAAAAATAAACCTACTGTCATCGCCTCCTCCTGGCTGCCTCCCTGAGAGACAGCAAGAGTTCTGTTCCTTTTGCAGTTTTCAGGGGGTTTTTTGTAGTCTTGACGCATTGAATCATAAATACAGTATGGCGAGAACACGGTGAACACTTTCACACAGTCTTTGCTCAGAGGCATTTATGGCGTTGCGCTCAGTTGTTCACACCAAAGAAAAGATGGTGGTGGTTGTGTAAAGAATCAAAGAGAGCTTGAGAGAGCAGTTCAGATAGTGCATGTTGTCTCATCTCACCTAGCTAATCGCTGCATGAGGTGGGCGCGCTTGTCAGATTGACGCTTTCAAGAAACTTATCGTATGCAGGCAACCAAATTTCAACTCCGGAAAGGTGTGCGGGGGGTGTCTTCAGAAGCTGTTTGATGATCTGGTTTGAAGCATAATGACCCATATAGCCTTCAAATCCCTACAGATATATCCACTAGAACTACTGATTATCATTTATTAGCTTGTAAACATGGTCAGTGGTGAGTCATAAGCTCACTGTAACCCCTTCTTAATATAAACTGTATAGAAATTCAGCACAAGTCCTGCCACTGAAACACATATCGAACTAATGTATAAGTGAGGCAGAAACGGCACTGCGACTTTGCATATTTAATATATTCTTGACTGGTCCAATTCTTAACAATGATTAATTGCTCATCAATGAGTCACCTACTTGTTTTAATGAGTAGAGCAGATGTGTTAGGAATTTCTTAACCTTGTGGAAAAGAATGCCATTTATAAGCTCACCCTTTACACCCAGCTTTACAGTAGATTTGAAATGGCTTCTGTATGTTGATGTGCTGCTGTAAAACATCAAAGGTGATAAACGGATTCATGTTAGAGCTGCACAAACACATACACAGTCGCACACACAAACCTGTCACTCGTCCAGCTCCTCCTCCTCGCTGATGAATCAGATGATAAGGCACAAAGTAGCTTGTAAGCAGAGGCAATTGGCCCGATGTGTTATTCTGAGTGGCTGGCTTGTCAGCTGCGGAACCGTGTGAATGAGGCAAGGACATACTGCCATATTTCGCCACGCAACAGCTCGCTGGTCTCATTGAGACTGATTGGGATTCAGATGGAATGGTTCACTTCACACAGGAGGGGAAAGGCGTGGTGGTGGGGGGGGATCAGGATGTGTGTGTTGGTGTTAAGGGGTAGTACAAATGAGACGATGTTTTCACAACACAACAAGAGTGTGAAAGAAAGAATTGGCCAAGCACAGAGCTTTGATTTCACTTTGGAGATATAGAGTCCCTGGACCAAACTTCGGAAGCCACCAAGGAGCAATTTTCAGTGCCTATCACAGCTCATTCATCATGGTGTGATTGCTGTGTCGCTGTTATCTCGCTTGTGGGCGGCAGACGAGCCACAGCTGAAAGCCTCTGTAAGAATTCCTTACCTGTAGCGTCGGCCTAGGGAGGCTGTTTTTGTTTGTGTGTGCTTGCACTAGTACATAAAGTATTTATGCTCCCTACCAAGAATTTCTATGTGTATGTTCAGTATTTGTGTGTTCGTGTGCACCCTTGACATGTTCGCCTGGCTTTTACAGGACAGTTTCATTACACCTACACATGGCCGTCACCTTTCACGAACAGCTCTAGAAAAAGAAAAAAAAACGCAGTCACAGAATTGATTATCACTTTACTGCTGGGCCACAAGCCATGCCTTTCTAATTATTGATTGAGTTTGTTACAGGCACTGTTTAGGTCTTAGTAAAATAATGTCTTTGTACCCTCAGTAGCCACACTGATAGAAAATGCCCATTTTACCCCCGAGATAATGGAGACTCACCAGGCTGTGTTGTTCTAAATCGTGTGTGTTTGTTGATTCTCTCTGTTCTGAAATACAGTAGCTCATGACGCAGTAGAAAGACTAATCTTGTTTTCGGTTCTATATTTTCAGTGTTTTCTGATCCCAGGTGATTTGCATTGCAAAGGAGTAACTGATGGATTTTTCAGAGCTAAAAATTATTTTCTTTTCAAGCGGAGTTTGTGAATTTTTCTCAATAAAAGACATCCTCTCACTTTTTGAGAAGACCTCTCACTCAATTTACTATTCCAAGATTAAAATGGATTTAGGCAGCATCAATAATCATAACTAGACTTGCATGAAAGCATACCGGCATCCATGCAACCCAAAAACCAGAGGCTCTAAAGCCAAGAGCATCACTAAAGACTAGTTCACACTACACACTTTTTAGCCCGATTTGCCAGTTGGAGAGCTCGGCAACCATCAGGCTGTGATCAGGGGTAGAACAGTCAATCGGTGGTCGCCAGTCCTTATGTGTGAACTACACAACGACCCATTAAAACGGCTCCCCGACACATCACTGCCACATCGCCGACGCCAACCAGATATCTAGCATGCCAAATATCTAGAGGAGTCGGCCGACTCAACATCCATATCCAGCCAATGAGAGCAGGCAGCTACTTTTCACTGCACAACACTTTTTACTCACCTCTAGCTCTCTCTGTAGCTCAGACAGTCCCTGCTACCTGCATGTGCTGATCCATTCTTTCATCCATATTCTTTGTGTTTATAATTGCTATCTTTATAATAACGAACAACATCTGTTTCTTGTGTAGGTTTGCGTCATTTCCCGTTTCACATTTCACGTGTGTTTTCTTGAAAAAACGTGGTTTGGAGACCAGAGTCGGGTGACACAGCCGCTGTCAGCAGTGTAAACGCCACAACGACAAGTTGTGTACTCTGAACAGCACATCGCTCTGCCAACGCTGAAAGTTGTGTAGTCTGCACGAGCCTGTAGGCGGCGTAACTTGCGTTTGTTTGTCTTTGCAGATGTCCTCCTGCAGTGCACATTCATTCACGAATTAATCACATTCACGCACCTTTTTTTTTTTCAACTTTATTTTCAGTGTACACCTCTCATCATGGTCATGTGTTGATGGTGGATACCATCAACCACCATCACTTACCCTGAAAATTTAAATCCATACACATTCACATGGGTACACACATAGAGCCACCAACCCCCTTCCTCCCTCCATGCACACAAACACACATACACAGAGACCAAATCACACAGGGCAACACTTTTTTTTTTAGTTTGAAAAATTATTTTCACATCATTTGGGTTTTTTTCTGAAGCTACATGGCACAAGAAGATATTCATCGGAGCATGAAGCCAACATGCGTAGAGCACCCCACCCCCACCCCCCCACCCCACCCCCCAATGCCTCCACCAGTTTCACAAACACACACACAGCTGTCACATGTTTGAGTGAGAGATTTTTCGGTTGTTTTTCACTGGCTTCATGTAAGTACATGTGTTTATTATGCCACCAGCTAACCATTCAACAGCCTTGGGTGTTAATATATCACTCCTTTAATTAGGCCCTTAAATACTACTCATGCTCGGTGCTCACAGAATACAGGGCTCCTTGTTATTCCTGAAAGAAATCAAATGGAACAGAGCTTTACCTGTAGGGACATCTCTCTTTGGTGCCAGCTTGCTTCCATTGTTAGGGAATCATACCTTCTCAATATTTAAATCCCGACTTCTTGTTAACACCTGAAACCTGCTTGAAGTCCTTCCTGTAAGAGCCACTTTCTGCCTTTGTCAACTACAGCACTCTCAATCATTCTCTCAGTTTTCCTGCAGACTACCCTTGTGTCAGTGAGTGCTCTCACATCCACTCACACACAAATCGGTAAGAATTCAACAATGCACATAGAGTCGACTGATAAAAGCAGACACTGGCAGATTTGTTGGCACACGGGCCCAGTGGCACTGAGGCGTGTGCACATAAATTTGCACGCATAGGCGTAAGATCTGCCCCTGTTTCGTCAGGTTTGTGTGGCCTGTTTCTGATTTTCTGCCATTTATTTACTGTCAAGTGCAAATCCGTTGATATTTGAGTTCTAAAAAACTAACCTGACCTAGGGTTTTTTTTTCTAATGCCCTAGTGTTTTTCCAAGTATTGTCAGAGTTTGTGTGGCTGTTCTTCAAACAGGACTACAGAACTGTGTGAGAGAATTATATCTCATCTGCCAGTTTGCTGGGCTCTGGAGAGCAAGTTTTTAAGGATAAGAAAACATTTGGGGAAAGCGAGGAGGCCTGTGGAGGGCTGTGGGAAGACATTTTGAACACCCTGAGGTTTTAGAAGGGGAAACTCCACTATGGTGTATGAAGTTGAATGTGAACAACACCCACCCGTGCACCTGGTGCTGTGTGTGTGTGTGTGTGTGTGTG